TTTTGTAAGATAAGGAGGTTCTGGAGCTCTCTTACACGACAATATAAATATGCTGAACATTATCATACTGCACACTCTGTAAATTTAGATGATAGATTGTGTGTGTGTTTTAACCACAAGTAAAACTAAAAATAAACCAGACTCTGCTCCAGATAAGATGGTGGACACTCATTCCTTCTTGTCCCACACTGTTTTGAAGACTATAAACCCTGGAAATATGGAGAGCGGGAAGGGCCGGGGATTTAGCTCAGTGGTTCTGCCGTCTGCGTTGCAAGCACAAGGTCCTGAGTTTGATCCCCGGTACCAAATAAATAAATAAATATATATGTGTGTGTGTGTGTGTATGTGTATATATATATGTATGTATATATACACACATATATACATATACACACACACACACACACACACACACACACACACACACACATATTTAAACGTATGTTGTCAGTGAAAATATAAAAGAATGCCCTGCTTCTATAAGCAGGCCTCTTGGGCTTGTTGACCAACAGCGACAATTCCTGCCCACTTTCACCTCCCATGTACTCTCCCCAAAGCAGGCCCAAACTTCCTGCCAAATGGGTCTACAATTACTCATAACCAGAGTTGCCAGAAACCTATCCTGTCATGCTGAGGAACTGTAGCTGAGGTCAGTTTCATGATACATAAAAGTAATCACAGAATCATTTACTCATTCTTTTATTTATTCCACAAATGTGCTTACTACATACATGACATGTTCTGGGCTTAATGCTAGGAATTGCGCTCTTCTTGCTCCTGAATGCAATCACTGTGTATTGCAAACATATAACAAAAATTTTTTTCTTTTAAGAATTGGACAACGTGGCCAGATCTGCAGTAAGCATATAAAATTCTGTAGCTTTCACTTCTCCTAGCAAAACAACAGTTAGAAAATACAACAGGAATAAAAGATTGCATCCACAACAGCATTAAAAAATAAACAAATAAATAAAACTTGAACACCACGGAGCCACATATAAATATAATAAAGGAAGAAAAATTCTTAATATAATAAAGAATTAAGAAGAATTCTTAATAAGGGAAGAAAAATTCTTAGGATATATATTAAGAATAAAAGCACGTAAAAACTATATAAGGGGTGATCTATATATGTGTATGTATTATACACTAACATTAATGGGTTAAAAACTGAAAGCAATTATATCCAAATACTAAAAATTATTTCGGAATTTCAGGATAATAAGAAATATTAATTTTCTTCTTAGAAGAGTATTTTCCAGATATTCTACCATCATCAGGCTAAATCTTCATTACCAAAGGTTTTATTTTCTGTGAGGTGTTATTTAAACTACAATACCTATTATGAAGTGTAAATAATGCATGAAAGTCTCTCAAGTTTGACCTAAAATTACTGAACATACTGAGTTAAGTCTCTTTGACCGAGCAGCAGACCAGAAAACCAGCACAATAAGCACTTCAACCATTTTTCAAGCTGAATGTGATTACTGTTCCAGGTGATGGGTTTGAAGGAGCTTTTTAATTCAATCTGTGATTGCAGTTGGGCCTCCATAATAATCAACTTAATTCCACCATTATGTAAATCATTGCCTTGCAGTGTTGCTCTAGTGGAGAAAGGAAAAAAAAAATCCTGCAAGCAAGAACACTCAGGAAATAGAATGATCAGGTTAAATTAATGTGCTATTAATAACAATTTTTAAAATCCCTTTGATTCAAGCCTTGACATGAAGTGACCCGCTTTGCCACCTTACTAAAGATTACTGATGCTAGGCTTGATGACCCAGGAGACTTTTCCAAAGACCCTCAGACTTTTCCAAACATCCAGTCCTCTCCAAGCTGAGAGGACAGGGACTGAGTGGAGTCCCTAGGTTGTATCATGGAGACTGCCATCGGAAAATAACAAAATTATTCTTAATTGTGTCAGTGCTATAAAGAAGTCTAAGAAGCGAGAAGTCCAAGTTAGCTGTGACTTTACCGGATTATTTATCCGGAAACAGCAGTATATATTTTAACAGCATTGCACAAATAACATAAAAGTCATTCACCAAAGGTCAGCACTCACCAAAACAACTTAGTTACAGGAATAAAGAATACTTTGAATAATAGTAATGCTTCTATGAAAAGTCTTATTTTATCATATTCTGCTAAAATATACTTGACACATTAGTTTCAATATGTTTAACAGACTTCATTCCTTGCATTACTACATGAGTCATGTGACCTCAAGGACAGGGAAAAATATTATAAAACTTTCCTTTTTAAATGATTTTTAATTCAGCCTTACATTTGCGAACCTTTATAAGGTTGACAAGTCTAATAAGGAATTGACACAGTAGATTCTCTCCACACTATACCACTAAGACCTGCTAAGACTTTTTAGACTATCATTTCTTTAAAATCTGGAATTTCCCTTCTTTACAGGTCCAAACTCATTTCAAAATACAATTTTAACTCTACCAGTAAATGCAAGCATGCCTTATAGTTCAGGACGGAATTTTTTTATTCTAGGAGAACAGTAGCATCTGGTCTTCTGATTTGACAGTAGGTATTCTCAGCAATAATTTCATTGATCGTCTGACCGATATTTACTGAGTATCTGCTACATGCAATGTGCTCTACAAACAGCCATGCTCTAACCACAGCAGCCGCTACTCTCTTCCTGTGTCGTTACAGGTGGACACAAACACTGATCTGTACTTAAGCCTTTATAACACCAAGAAAGTCAACTCCATTTCGCTCACATCTAGTTTTTGTTCCACATAAAGTTAGTATCAAAAGAAAAAGAACCAATTTTCCTACGTCATATTCTTGCTAATTTATCCTGTAAGAATAATAATAGCACTTCAAGGTAACATTGCTTTCACAGGTAGATCAAAAGGAAGGTTTTTTAACCGGTTTTCTAAAAGCTGCCTGTCAAGGCATGAAGACACAGTCAGGCTCTGACAAATATTGTGCTCATTACCCAGCTGCTGCCAAGGGGCAGGCAGCATTTCAGCACCCTCACCCTTTGTTCTCCTTCGAAAGTGTCCAGAATTCCCATTCAGTCTGCCTATCAAGCTCAAAAAGGAAACAGCAGAAGGGTAACTTCCAATGGGTTGTTTAATTAACTTTAGAGCAAAATTAGGACATGTTTTTGCAGTATGCAGGCTACACCTTTCAGAGTCTATGAATCCTACCTTCACAGACAGTGCTGAAAAGCAAATTACAGTAATAATGATAATCACCTCCTATTCTCTCCTCTGCCCTAGAAAGGTTTTGCTTTCCTCTGCTTAAACCAAAATGACATTTTCCATTACCGTCTCATTCACTTCTACTCATTTCCCTTTCCCTGAGAATTTGTGCACGTAAGTTAATTACCCTGGTTCCATGAGCTGCAGCTGAAGAAAATATGATAATTTTATCACAATGTCTTTAAGCTATAATAGAGCAGATATGACACTTAAGCTAAGTGCTCCCAAAAACTTACATCTTTTCCCAGTACTCTGAGTTCAAATTGTGTCTCCTTGAAATGAACCTTTGTAATTCGAGGCCTGAAAAACAAAGCAGATGGTGCTGTTTTTAAGAATTAAGTCTTTCAGAAATTCAGAGAAGTGCCCAGTGAGAAAAGGCTGTTTTAAATACTGCTGCAGTGACTAGGTAGTTCCCCGGACATATAATTCTACTGGTCTTTTGTTTCTTCATTCGGTGACCAAACAAGCTTGGAACCCAAAGTTCTGACAGTGCCACCTTCCCAGATTTAAGCAGGGCCATAGGCTCCCTAATCCTCCTGTCCTTCCCCTGGAATTAATGAAAATAGAGCAGTCCTGAGCCCGTGAGCCCATGATGGAGTGGGCAGAATATTTTACTATGGACAAGGGAGTCCAAAAACCATGGCACCTGAAATTTAGAGAAAATATAGACTAAGATGCACTCGGGGAACACGTACACCCAGTTTCACTCATTTATTTGCCAACTATTGAAAATGTATCTTTTTTCTTTTCCGTAACCCTTTCACCAACAAAAGAGCTCTATAATTTAATACTTATTAGTATATAACTGGAATATTAACTCTGCTCTCCAGTTATACCTACCAGAAATACTTCCCCACTTGCTTTTTATTCTTGTAGACAACAATACCAACTGGAGTTAATCCTAAGAAATATTCAGACTTGTTTTCTCCCTGCAAAAACAAACATATACCTAAGTCAATGAATTTATTCACATAAAAGCTGTTTATAAAACTATAATTGGTCAAATATAGAGTAATTTCTTGTAGTAGCATTGGATTTAATTTTTTTAAAGACATGAGCATAAACAGCCAAGCCATGATAGTAGCTAATTTCATGCTTATATTTTCCAAAGTTCTTGAAAGAATTTGTCTATCTAATGTTAATTCACACCCATACCTTACATGCACTGAAAGGTACCTGGATTATCAATTTGGCTACTGACTGATTTACTCAAAGTTGCCTAAACAATGGTGCTTAGCTTAACTCTACCTGCGTATTAACTGGAATCAACCAAGCAGCTTAAAATTCCTGATGATTGAGTACTACTGAAACCAGTTAAATCCGAATCTGGTGAAAGGGTCTGACTATCATAAGAGATCCTAGTGGTCTTCCTGTGTAGCCACATCTTGAGAACCACTGGTTTCTATCAAAGATGTTTTCAAATGCCTTGTCTTGACTTTACTCCCTGATGTGGATAATCGTAAGGCCCAGGTCACCTCCACCACAGCCCTCATCAGAAAGTTTGGACAGCTGCTAGCTGAAAGACACTTGAATTTTCTGAGGTCTAACATGTTCCTTCCTTTCTTGTTTTGTAACATTAGGACCACTCCAAAATTTACAAATACAACCTCTCTGGTAAAGACAGAGAACACTTATTTCCAGGCAATGACAAATCTAAACTAAGAAAATGGATCCTGAAATGAAAATGCCACAGAAGTGGGTACCAAGAGCATACACAAAACTGTGTAACAGCCTGCAAAGCTATATTCACAGGGACATAGGACAACTAATATATTTTGGAAGAAGAGCAGCTGTTGCCCACTTTTAGCTCTAAAAATTCATATTAAAGAAACATATGGGTGATTCTAACAAATTGGCTAATTTCTAATTTCGAATAAATTCCCACCGACAACTAAAACTTGATTGTGAAGTAGAATAATCACTACAGAAGCAAAAGCATTCTGCAGAAGATTCTCTCTATAAATTTCCTATAAGTATTTTTTTAAACCTGAAAACCTAACACGAATAACATGGCTAGTAAGGAAAAAGATAATCACACCATCAAGGCTTAGCAGTTTCTTGAAGGACAGTACTAAGAAACATTTAATGACTTAATTAGATTGGAATCTATATATTGGGGAACTACTACTTCCCCAAGATCTGAAACTTTTACTATCACATTTACAGGGATGCTTCTAATTTCCAAAAATAATATCATATCGTTTCTTGTTTCAGAAAAGCCTGATGAGCAAGAGACATATTACAAAATGAATGCATAAGTCATTCACATCAGAGAAAATATTATCAGCATTCCTTAAAAACTGAGTTCCCTGATTCAAGCAACAAAAAGTTTATATATATACTCTCCAGCAATTCATTTCCTAAAAGGCATTAAGTCTCTTGGCTCATTTTTTCAAATAATCAAATGTGACTACTGCTAACTACACTCTTACAAAATCAAAAGCAACGGCACTGCAAGGTCACTGGCACAGAATAATCAACTGGATGTCTAAGAAAAATGGCTCAAAGAATAAGACCTGGATCCAGAATACTCAACAGCAAAACCAGTGCCACTGTCCACTGGCTGTATCTGGCAAGATTTCATCAGTCACCAAAGGAAATCTGCAAAAGTACTTCTATTGTAGTGATACCTGTAGTCGGTGATAACCCTTCTACCCACTGAACCTGCACATCAGACACAGAACTACCTATCACTGCAACTGGGCTGTTGTCTAACATTTGCTCTATTTGGCAAATTAACTTATGTTTTTCAGCAATAAAAACTATTTTTGGAAAATCCTCCTGTTTTCTGTCTAATGTGATCAATTATAGACCAATTTTAAACTGTTTTGACATTTAGCTAAGCCCTTTGGAGCTGTTATCCAGATTGTGTTTTCAAGCCCAGTTAATTGTTTTCTACACATGGAAATATAATCACAGACTTCTATGCAAAGCTCATTAGGGTTTAATCCATGCAAGAGCTGCTTTGTGCTAAAAAAAAAAAAAAAAAAAAAAAAAAAAAAAAAAAAAAAAAA